GGCAGCTCATAGCAGCAATCAGGACACTGAGGGACAGGATGAAGAGTGTGTGTGTGTGTGTGTGTGTGTGGGTGTGTGTGTCCATTCAAGGTGGTAGGGTGGTTTAGGAGCATAAAGGAAAAGAGGGAATTAGGAAACAGAAAGAAAGATGTGTGATTCTCCACAAACTGCCCTAAATGTCCAAATTCAAAGAAGGAAGTTCTATTTCCAGTGAAACCTATGGAGATAACTGAGTAGCAAGGTGCAATAGCCTCAACGTCAAGCCTTGTCTGATTATGACTAATAGTTTAAAATTATTTAGTAGACACACCTTCTGGACATGGCATAAAAATACAATTCTATTGTATCACTCTTCTAAGACTAGTCCTAAAATGGAAGAGATTTTCACTACAAAGACATAGTTATTCATCGTGTAAGAATGTAACTTGGAGTGACCATTTTTATAGTATCAGATATTACTCAAACACCTTGGCATTAAGTACAACAGATCTTCAATAAATTTTTGTCAGAGAATGCATGTGAAATTATAAGTCTTTCCCACCGAATCTCCATTCTTTACAAAACAAATAACAAAAAGAGAGCGAGATGGGCTATCTTGAAATAATAAATTATAAATTCTGCTCATGAGTTCAGTGATGCCCATATGTGGCAGAATCCACAAGAGTCTCTGGTGAGAGAGCTGGAATGAAGGTCCCTTGGATGGCCTGTCAGGCCAGGTTGAATCATACCTGCCCCAACAGAAGGCTGGCACTTTGATTGTTGATCCCCACATATAGAGTCTGATCTACACTGAGCGATGGAATGGTAAGAGAGCCAACTGCCCTTTCAGATTATAACTCACCATTCCGGGAGGGCTGAACACATCTCCCCGCACCTCCTGCGTTGGGCCACATTCACTAGCGTGGCCGTTGCAAAAACAGCTGCCCCGAACCACCATCTCATACAGAGCATAGTAGTATTTATCAAGGGAATCATTTTGCCTCCTTCCAAGCAAAGTATCCCCAAGGGTGTGGAGTTTGGTAAAGTTTATCCTCAGGTTTGTTAATGTCACAAGGTCTAGAAAAAGGAAAATAATGAAAATAACAAGTCAAAGTGCATTTAGGTTGTATCAGTTCAGGGTGCCCTTCTTGATGACATCCCCTTAATGCATCATAAAAACGCAATGACAAGGAATATTCCTAATATGAAATTTTAGAAAAGAAATAGGTGTGGAAAATATAAAGTAATTCATACCCTGAATGTAGGGACTGTAGGGATTTTCTATTTCAAAGCTGGGATCCAAAACTTTTAAAACAACCTGTAAAACAAATGTAGGTAAATTTATAGTATTTTACCCAAAAAGAATTGTTGTTGTTATATATACTCTTAAAGAAGAGATCCTGATCTTACAAGAAGGCCAAACCATCGTCTCTCTACTGGCATAGATACAGGTTATTGTTTGGGTTTTCATATGAATAAAAGTACCAAGAAAAAATGAATAAGTTATTAAATAGTCACTCATTCTGGCTCTTTATGCACAGGTCGTCCATATAGGCAGAAGTCATGATACCATTGGTGAAAAGGGATCCTGGGGTGGAGTGATGGAGGTCACAATTCAGCAGGTCAGCATCTATTTGGATCTGGCAGGGGATTCTGGAGTTGTATTATGTCACCAATTCTATCTATACTACCTGATAAGATAATACCTCCCCACCCCACTCCTACCCTCACCCTCTGTCAGTGACCCGCTTTGCTCAGGGGGAGGTTCCTGGCAGATTCCACCTGAGTGGTGGTTTATAGAGCATAGATATGACAACTATTCCAGGGCTACCACTATATGCTCCCTTGCAAGGGTTAGAAACAGATGCTCCTTCCTCTGGGTTCCCTGCACTCCAGTGCCCAAGCTGGATTGTAGCCCCTGCTCACCTTCAACTGGGCACTCTGTGCAGGGTTGTTTCGTAGAAGGTATTTATTATTTATCTGAATTGGAGATGAATTCAGGACTCATTTCAATTTAGATACTTTAATTTTAAAAAACCAACAGCTCAAGTTATATTTCAGCAAACACTACCTAAATTGTTTTTATCTAAATTAACCACATTAACCAAAAAGGTTTAATTTGGGGGGGGTGGGCGGTGGTTATAAAGGCTTATATCAAAGAAATCCAGTAAAGGAAATGCTACCTCACCACCAGTTGAGGGTTCAATATCCGAATATTTGGAGTCACAAACAAGGTCTCCCACTCCCTGGGCCTGGCCAGACGTGATGTTGGGAAAGGAAGTGGCACAGTCTTTTGCAAAATATTTTAACACTTTCCAGGTGCGTCCATAGTCTGCAGAACGTTCAACTAACATTGCGGCAGGCCGAAAAGTCTATGAAAAAATGAGTTAAACTTGTTATGCTTCACAAAGGTAGATTTTATTACCCACTCCAGATTGAACATCTATATTTTCTAATTCTATTTTTCCAAACTTTATTTGTATCTTTTAAAATCTATTATATAATGAACACACCATAATCTCTTTCCAATAAGTGGGCAAGTATTTCTGAGCACATACTTTGCCTTAGAATCTAATTCCGTTTAAAAATGTTTATGGCTGTGTGAATTATTAATTGAAGAAAGATGGCATATAAATTTTTAAAAGGATAATGTAATTGATATTTTACAGTGATTTGCGTGTGGTTTTCTTGGCCTAGAATATTTCTCTGGCAAACTTTTATACATCCTTCAAAATCTACCATGAAGTTTACCCTGATTCCCCAGGGCAGATTAGCCTCATCTATGCTAATCATACATCTATTTCTGCACTTATCAATCTGTATTAAAATTTTAAATTCACATATGTGCTTGTATCCATGACAGATGTGAGCTCTTTGAAGTTGGTTTTTTTTTTTTTTACTTTTTATAACTTTTTATTTTATATTCATCTTTTATTACCATAATAGCACATAACAGCACTAGGCATGACATAAAAATTAGAATTTTGATGAATGATTAGAGAATAACTATAGCACAGGACTTGTCTCTGGTATCTAACTAACCCTAATAAAAACCCCTTAATTTTTCTTCCTCTTTTGATCTTTCCGTGTCTCCCTAAATAATTTCCAGTTTCTGCCCTACTCCTCCCCCACCCCCCACACTGCTTGGCATTTTCTTTTTGTTATATATTCTCTAAGATTTTGTTATTGTTGTTAACCATATAAGTTATTAATTACTGAGCAGGGTTTTTTTTGTTTGTTTTGTTTTTCCTATTCAAGAACAAAAACCCAGATGCCAAAGATCAAGTCTGGATTTACACAGCTTTTTGTTCTCTGCAAGGAAGCAAGGAAGCGAAATTCCAGATAAGCCCAGCATTTGGTAAGTACATAAAGGGGCAGCAAGTCTACACATCTGTACCTTAAAGGTCAAGATAAGGTGGCTGAACTGAAATAATGCCTCTAGGTCCAATCTGATGCTGACATGATCACGACCTAAAGAAAAATACAGAAAGAAGAAAATCAGTGATTATGAGAGACCCTCCCTCCTTCTTTTATCATGTTAATCCTTTACCATGTTAAACCCTTTGAAATCACATGGCTGGTGATTTCCTAATCTGTTGGTGTGGGTTCCCATGCTGTTCCCTGCTCAGGAGAAGGTCTATGTGAGAGCAATATAGGATTTACCCTGTGTCCTCATCCATGTTTCGGTGGCAGTACACATGGCCACAGTGTGGCAGTATTACATATCACCATGGGAGTTCTGAGACATTTCCCATAGGTGGAACGAGAGAGCTCATTTCCTTGAACTCAAAGAATCTTGACAACACACTAATGTGAGCTAACAAGCCAGAGAATGATAAAATTGACACACTCTTTTCTTCCAATAGCTGCTAACAATCATTTGAACTAGTTTTCTTATTACTTAGCATACAATACAATGTGGAGCATTCCATTGGAGTGAGGATCTGTGGACTCCTCTATGGCTGAGGAGAACATGGAGATATCCTGGCCAGGACTTTGCACTGAGATAGTTAGCTGCCATCTGTCTCTAGCATGGATGTGGAGACTTGGCCCCAATCTGGACACAATAGAAGCCCTGTTCTCTCTAGAGTGCATTGTCCAATAGAAATATGAGCCATATGTGTCATTTAAAATTTTCTGGAAGGCATATTTTTAAAAGTAAAAATAGGCAGATGAAATTATTTTTAATGTATTTAATCTAATATGTCAAAAATATTCTTATTTCAACATGTAATCGATATTTTTAAAAGTTAGTAATGTTTTATTATACATTTTTCTCCAACTAAGTCTTAAAAATCCAGGATGTTTTTATACTTATAGCACATCTCTATTTGAATTAGCCATGTTTTAAGGGCTCAGTAGCCCCATGTGGCTAGGGGCTATGATATTGAACATTGCAGCTCTAGAGAACAGTGGCTGGACTGCAGTGAATTGGGGTACAGCTTACATTCTAAGATGAATGGCTCAGGAAAGGGTTTGCTGCTGAGAGGGCAGCCACATTCCAGGCTCTATGTCAACGGCCTCTAACCTTTTCTAGAAAAAATATCTCCTTTCCCTTCTCTAAAGTTTTTGGTTAAGAGCCCTTGTTCTATGTAATCAGCTTTGACAGAGAGGCGTTCTTTCTCTGAGGATGCATGGAATAAATGTTGAACATGTGGGTGATAACAATTACAAATTGAAAATGGCACCATTCATCAATGAAGACAGGTGACCATGGTAAAAACTACCTCATGCTCACTAGAAAGGGTCAACTAGAATCCAAACCGGGAATAAGACAAGAATGCCCACTTTCACCACTTTTATTCAACATAGTATTAGAAGTCCTAGCCACAGAAATCAGACAAGAAAAAGAAATAAAATGCATCCAAATTTTCATTTCAGACACACATTCTGCGAGCCTGTGCTGTCGAGGACCCGGATGTGAGAAGCAGCATTGCAAGTCCGCTTGTCTGGCTGTCTTTCTTGTGAACGGAACCTGTTCCTGCTGCAAACACAGGCTTCTCAGGGCTCCAAGTCGGAGCCGAAAACTCATGACCACAGGCTGGCACACAGCACTTGGCACTGCTCAAGGAAACCTGTGAGGATCACCCCCGTCACTGAATAAAGGAGCTTTTCTGTTTTACTGGTATCTCTAAATTTTCCTTTCATATGTTCAAATAAATTTTTTTTTCTAAACAACAACAAAAAATGCATCCAGATTAGAAAGGAAGAAGTAAAACTGCCATTATTTGCAGAAGACATGACAATAAATAGAGAGAATCCTAAATAGTCCACCAAAAAACTATCAGAATGGATAAACAAATTCAGTAAAGTAGCAGAAAACAAAATTAATATTCAGAAATCGGTTGCATTTTTATACACCAATAATGAATTACCAGAAAGGGATATTAAGAAAACAAATCCATTTATAATTGCATCAAAATATAAAATACCTAGGAATAAATTTAACAAAGGAAGTTAAAGATCTGTACTTAGAAAATTATAAGAAAAGAAAGAAATTGAAGAAAATAAACAAATAAACAAATAAAATCATATTCTGTGTTCATGAATAGGAAGAATTAACATCGTTAAAATGTCCATACCCAAAGCAGTCTATAGATTCAGTGCAATCCCTATCAAAATATCAGTGACATTTTTCACAGAACAAGAACAAATAATTCAAAAATTTATATTGAACCATAAAAGATCCCAAAAAGCCACAGCAATCTTGAGAAAGAAGAACAAAATTTGGGGTGTCATGCTACCTGATATCAAACTATACTACAAGCCTATACTAATCAAAACAGCATGGTACTGGCATTAAAACAGACACAGATTAATGGAACATATATAAAATATGTTCTATATCCATATACAAAAATAAACGCAAAATGGATTAAAGACCTAAATGTAAGACCTGAAACCATAAAACTCATAGAAGAAAACATTGGCAGTGAACGCTCTGACATTGTTCTTAGTAATATTTGTTCTGATATATTTCCTCTGGCAAGGGAAACAAAAGCAAAAATAAACAATGGGACTACATCAAACTAAAAAGTTTTGCACAGCAAAGGAAACAACAAAACAAAAAGATAGCCTACTGAATTAAGATTTTTGCCAACGATACATCTGATAAGAATTAATATCCAAAATTTATAAAAGAGTCATATAACTGAATAGCAAACAAACAAACAAACAATCCAATTAAAAATGGGCAAAGGACCTGAATAGGCATTTCTCCAAAGAGGACATACGGATGGCCAATAGACATATGAAAATATGCTCAACATCACTAATCATAAGAGAAATGCAAATTAAAACCACAGTGTGGTATCATCGCCTCACAACTGTCAGAATGACTATCATCAATAAATCAACAAACAAGTGTTGGCGAGGATGTGGAGAAAAGGGAACCCTCGTGCAGTAAGAAATGAAATGTCCTTTTTCTCTCTTCCTTTATGTGTTGAAGAAGGAAAAAGCACATGATGTGAACTCGCTCTTTCTCTAGTGTTATTAATTCCACTTAGTGTGTTTCATATTGGGCTTTATTTATTAACACCTCGTACACTTTCTTATTTTTTTTACAAAGAACAAAAGAAAGCAGAGATATTTTCTTCTCCCACATGGGAAGAATGAAACATTCTGAATATGTGCTTAAAATACACTTTGATTTCTCTAGAGGAAAATAATCTTTCTTAAAATGAAAAGAAAATTTGTTCTTATACAGGACTCTACATTCTTGGTGGACAGTGTTCTATTCCCGTATAACTCCTTGCTGTGACATTGTTAAAATTATACTGAAAGGTGTCTTATTAAAAATTTAAAGAAATAAGAAATTGGAAAGAAACTTAATCATACCATTTTCAGATTGCCACCATTTCTTTTCCCTATCTGGTTCAAAACTTGTAATTACATTCTCAATGGTGTGGCTGTTGGATTGGGTGTGTGGATCATATGGAAATCTGGAGTCACAGATGAAGCATTTTTTTTCCCCCTGGAAAAAAAAGAATTGTAATTACTTATTGTTGATCTGAATTTAAAAACAAGCTGTACTTACCATATTGGTCTTTCAATCTGGCTAAAAATAGAAAGCAGAGGAAATAACAAGACATCAAATTTTCCATCAATAGGTGCTTAAATACAATAACAAATGAAATGAAAATATAACAGAAATTTTATAAATTTATATATTTGGGGTAAAAATGCAAATAAATGTGGAAATAATTTTTTTCTCATAATGTAGGCAGATGATCTGGAAGTTATTTTAAACTATAGAGAAATAATTAGGACATACTCTTTGAGTGAAATTACTTCCTTTAGGAAAAAAAAGAATATTTGGCAAGAAACTAATGAAACAATGGGCCACTAGGTTATTTGCAACCATCATCTTTTCTCTCTCAAACATAGTTTTTGGCAGAAAAGCTTCCAGTGCCAAAACATTTACATCACACATGTGAATTCTGTAAAAGATTTTCATAAACTCACAACAGAGTCACACTCTCTTGTCTCACAGACTAGAAGGTCTTATTAGTGAATTGGAACTAGTTTTGTTTGGGATGGGTTTTCAAAGGCTACAACAGCCAACATTGGCCTGTGGATTTGCTTAATTGAATGAGTCTGCCTGTAGCTGTATTTAGTTAAAACTCCTAAGGAAATACAAAATTTCCAAAAGACTGCCAATGGCCTGCACAGTTCTTCTTGGCTAATATGTGGGACTCTGAAGGAGCATATTTGCAAAGCTTTTAGGAAGCAGTTGTTTATTATAACAATCCTCTGCGCTGAAAATTGCCTACAATAGTAAATGTGCTGGCAGGGTCCCGTGAACATTGCTTGAGTTTGTGTCCTGACCATGGCTTACAAGGGCCTACATGATCTCACCAGGGCCACTCCCTTGCCTGTCTTCCTTTGATTTCAGCTCTATCTACCCTCCTTGCTCTTTCTTGAGCTCACCAAGAACTCTCCTGCCTTAGAGTTCTCAAGTCTCCCCAAGCCCTCCACTAAATATTCTTATCTCTTGCTCCTTCCTTTCTTTCAGGTCTCCATTTAAATACTGTCATCTCAGAGAGAGTTTCCTTGACTTCTAAATACCACCACCTCCCATCGTTATGGCTTCTGCCACTCCCTAGGCCTTACTTACCCTGCTTGATAATATTTTCTAAGACCTCATCACTATTTAAAACTATTAGATAGTGTTGGATTATTATCTGTTGCCATCATTAGATTTTAAGTTGAATAAAGGCAAGGACTTTGTTTTGTTTATGGCTGTATTCTCTTTACCTAGAATAGTGTCTGGAACACAGTAGATGCTCAATAAAATTTGTTGAATGAATACATGATGATTTTGATGACTATTTTAGGTGGAGTCTGTCAAAGTGAATCAGCCTTTCAAGAGAATCATGTAATCCTTTTATAATCACTGGCTACCATAAGCCTTATACTTGAAGAAAACAAAAATGCCCTTTGGAAATTAAGGAATAATGGAAGCTAGATCAATTCTGCATATGGAGAGGCTTGACCCAGACCTATCTTAAAAGAAGCCCTATAAGTCTACCAAAAGATGTCAAGACTTCAAAGTATTTCCAGTAATACTGGGGGAACTTCAGGGTTTGTGGGCCATTCTCTCTGTAAACAATTTGGAAGCACAGTCTTTGCTGGTGCTGTCTATGGAGGCTGCTTAGTTGTAGTCAGTAAGCGGGAGACTCAGCTTGGATAAACTGTGGGGCAATATTGACTTGAGCTTCAGAAGAGAATGCTTTGCTTGGTAGCAATTTGTTAGATAACGGATGGGGAAAAAAACCCCACTCTCCATGCTTATGTAGATGAACACTTGTAGCTCCACCTATGATACTATGAAGATATTTTGGGATTTTTTTCCAGCTCTAAGATTTTTAAGATTTCAGTGATTCTCTAGACAAAAGAGGCCTCTGAAGTTTGATTTACTTCTATTTTTGGTGGTTTGAAATTAGGATATAGAAACATCAATTTCTAATTAATGTCTGAGTATGTCATGAGTTGGCTATGACAATAGTTAGTAAATGCCAGTGCTTGAAGAACAGGATGGGTGATGCCAGTGTTGGAAAGTTTTTAATATTAGAGTTGAGAACCACTTCTTTGTCCACAGGACCTAGACTTTGTAAAGTCACTTGAAGTGCCATCCATCCCACCTGACCCAGAGTTGAGCACAACTTCAGCAGTGTCATTTCCTTGCATACGTAGAGAATTTGTTTTCTTATACAAGTACTTCCCAAACTTAGAACAGCGCTAAGCACTATGGTATTGTCTTCACTTATTCATAATCATCTTCTTTTGCTAAAAAACAATTAGAATATAAAGCATTTCCCAGAGGCCTCCAGGAGTTGCCTTAAATGAACAATACATGGAAAGCCCAGGCCACTAACACTGGCTTGTGTCCAACTTCCTTTCTGCACATCCTCTCATTGAAGGATTGAAGTGATTTCCTCAGGCTTTTCAACAGGTATGATGCACAGATGACCTTGGGTGCTTGCTTTACTTCCAGAGCACAGGGAAGAAAAAATTCTATAAAGCAACAGGTCCTTTTATAAAACTGGTCTTTAAGAAAAAAACAGCCGTAAAATAATGTTCACATCGGGATTTTATGGTTTTTAGGCAAGACGATTTCCAAGTGGCAATGCAAAGCTGGCATACAAAGAATTCCAAGTTCCACAACCTTCTATCTCTAAGGGAGGAGAATAAGAACTCCTGCTTCACATAATGGCCTTGAGTTCCTGGGAGGTCTGCAATCTCCACCGTTCATTCTATGGCTGTCACTAAGGCAGACAAATAGGATAGCACATTTTATAGTAATTTCCTACAAAGACTGAAACCAACAGTCTTTTATATCTAATTCTAAAGATAACAAGAAATAGATGAGTCAGATCTTCCCTATTTTCTAATCTGTCAAGGTTTTCTGGACTTTGAATCGTATCATTTGTGTCTCAGATGTTCAGGAAGGAGTGTTACCTCCTTAACTGTTGTCTGGACAGCCCCAGATGTACCTGGAAAAGTCTATGTCATTGATTAAATAATGTCCAAACAAGTAAACAAAGAACCAACCCACCTCAAGGTAGCTGAGGATGCAGTATTTCTGGGCTCCGTTTAGCCCGCAGGTAGAAGAAGCCATGAGCTGTGTGCTGCGGCCCACCAGGAGGTTGCCGGTGGTAGGATGACAGGCGCCCCTGTTGCATTCATCCTCAGCTTTTGTATAACTGACCAACCCTTGAACACAACAGAAATAGCTACGTAGAAGGCAGTCTAAGGGTAGCAGAAAGCTTAAAGAAGTAACTGGTTAAGTCAGAAAGTTAACGGCCCATTTATTGTTAACACCAGTTCTGTTGATCGTTATGACCCTGGTCGTGAATGCTACTGGTGCCCTCAGGCTGATAGCAATCTTTCAGCCTGGGAGGTTATACCATCTGCATTCATGTCCCCATCTGGGCCAGCCTGTAGCCAATGCCTGAGGAATATACAGTTTGAAGGCTGGCTCGATTGTCTCAGGCTGGGATCAACTCCACAGTGCAATTTATGATCAGAACCTCTCCTGGGAGGAGGCTGAAGACTGACTCCAGATGGGACCATATTCCATCTTCACTTCTCTACTCTTGCTCCTCAGAGTACTCCTTCCATAAATCATGTGCATACAAATCCCTGTCTCAGGCTCTGCTTCTAGGAAACCTGATCTGAGGCAGCTTCTCTGTGCTGGCACAAAGACTAATGCACATCTATGAAGAAGGAGAATTCTACTCTTCTACTGGTTGTTCCAACCTGTACAAAATCAGCTGGAGAATTTAAGAAATCCTTGAGGAATAATTTTCTCCTAAAACATGTAAATTCAATTGACTCCTTTATAACCTGGATTGTTGGACTCATATGCACCATGGAACAAATCATGACCCTTTGGGATAAAGTGAGAGACTGAGTTCCCGTCTGTGTAGCACACTTATCCCTTGACACCTGCTCTCCAACAGATCTGTCCTAAAGGGCTTTGGTCACAAGAGAGATAACATAATTGCAAGGGAAACCTTATCTCAATTATCAACTCAATTCTCTACTTTTCATGTGTGGCCTCTGAGATAATATTCTTAATCTCAGTTTAAAAAATGTTTTTAAAGTTCTGTTTGTTTTAAAATGTTAAATTCTGAGTTAAGATAACTGTCAAACCTCTATATGTGAATGTAGGGTGGGTAGGGTAATCTAAATTATTTCTTGCCTGCAGGGTTTGCCTACAGGGTTTGCTCTTTTATGTTAAAGTTATATTTTATAATCCATAACATATTAATAGATTCGTTTACTGTTGGGAAGATTGAGTAAAACAAAGTAGAATCTCACTAGGGCTCAGGTCTAAGATTAATACACATATAAAGTTAATGTGAGTCCACTATAATATTTTATTGATAGCTATTTATAGAAATAGTTATATTTCTTCTTTTAAGGTATATTCGAACAGGACAGTATTGTAACTTTTTAAATTTGGCTTAAAGGTTAGACTTCTGTTTGATTCTCAAGGCCAAAATCTAGGCACTAGTTTTTTCTTGATTGCATTTCAAATTATAGACATGATAATTTTGCAGAAATAAAGCAGATTGAAAGACACAGGACCTAGAATAGCTAAAATAATTTTGAAAGTCACTGCTTGATATTACTGTGGCTACAGTAAACAAGAGAATGTAATATTGATAGAGAGATATACCAATGGAACAGAATAAAGGATCCAGAAATAGATACACACAAATATGCTCAACTAAATTTTGAGGTGCAAAGGCAATTTAGTGGAGGAAGGATAGCCTTTTCAGCAAATAGTGATAGAGCAATTGGACATCCATAGGCAAAATAATGAGCTGTACCCCAAACCTCACACAAACATTAACAAAAAATGGATAATGGCTTTAAATGTAAAATATAAAACTATAAATCTCCTATAACACATAAGAGAGAATCTTTGAGACTTAGGGCTAGGCAAAAAATTTTTAGAATTGACAACTAGAGTGTGATCCATAAAGAGAAAAATTGGTAAATTTGATCTCATCAAAATTTTAAAAAATTAAAAACTTTGTAAAAAGGCAAGCTACAGACTGGGAAAATGAATTGCAAATCACATATCTGACAAAGCACTTGATCTAAAATACATAAAGTGCTCTTAAAAGTCAACATTAAAAAACCAATCCAATGAGAAATTGGCAAGTGGCATGAATACACATTTCACTGAGAAGATATACAGATGGCAAATAAGCACCTGAAAAGATGTTCAACATCATTAACCATTAGGAAAATGCAAATCAAAACCACAATAAGATAGCACTACATACTTATCAGAATGACTAAAATTTAAAAAATAGCAGTAACACTAGTTGCTGGAGAGGATGTGGAGAAACAATTACTTGTGGGAATGTAAAATGGTACAGCTTCTCTGGGGGAAAAGTATGGTAGTTTCTTATAAAACTAAGCATGTGCTTGTCATATAATCCAGTAACTGACAGACTACTTACTGACTTCTAATGGAATGTCATGTCCACATTACAAATCTTATGTCAGGTCAATGGTATATGCGGGTATTCAATGATCTTTAATTCACCTCTACTTTTGTCTGTTTGTCAGGAAAACTGCCTATGTCAGTGGAGGCAGAATTTGCACATTGGCTGCATTCACAATTGAGCCTGAGTGTGCTGTGAGGCAGCGAATGGAAAGTGGGAATGTAAAATGGTACAGCTACTCTGGGAGAAAAGTATGGTAGTTTCTTATAAAACTAAGCATGTGCTTATCATATAATCCAGCAATTGCACTCTTAAATATTTATTCTGGAGAAATTAAATTTACCTTCAAACAAAAATCTGTATATAAATGTTCATAGTATCTTTATTTATAATAGCCAAAAACTGGAAACAACACAGATCTTTCAGAGTAAGTGGTTAAACAAAGTGTAGTGAATCCACACCGTGGAATAGTACTTAGCAAAAAAAAAAGGAATGAATCGTTGAAACATGAAACAATGTGGATGAATCTCATAGGGATTATACTGAGTGAAAAAGGCCAACCTCAAAGGTTATAAACTGCGTAATTCCATTTCTTGAATGACAAAATTATAGAGATGGAGAACAGATTGTAGGGGTTAGGTAGGCAGGGAGAGAAGTAGGTGGGGATAGATACAAAGGGGTAGTACTAAGGATCCTCAAGGTGATAGAACTGTTCTGTATGTTAATTGTGGTGATGGTCATGTGAATAAAATTGCATAGAATTAACACACACACACACACACACAGATAAGTGCATGTAAAACTAGTGACATCTGAATAAAGTCGATCGACTATATTAATGTCAATTTTCTGGTTGTGATATTGTACTATAGTTATGGAAGGTGTTACCACTGGGGGAAAATTGGGTGAAAGGTATATGGAATATCTCTGTATGGTTTCTAACAACTGCATGAGAACCTGTAATTATTTCAAAAAAAAGAAAAAGAAAAGAAAAGAAAAACAAAACACAAATCCTCTCTCCCTTCAAATCACATCAGCTTCTGGATGGTCAATCAAGTAAACCCCATACTCTAAAATAATACAAACTTGACCTGTTCCAACTGCTCTTACACTCTTTTCTCTTGAGACATGAAAATTTATGCCAAGACCCGATTTCAACAGAAAGGTGTGAAAGGATCGGCCTAAAATGAAAAATAATTACTGCACTATGAACTAAGCTTGGTTTCTCCTCAGTTTTCTAAATTGTAAAAATATGAAGAATTTTTTATAAACTCGTTTTACATCTAATGTATTTCTTTCCTTCAACTTGTCCTCCAAAATGTAGGCTTTTGAAAAATACTGTTTTTTTCTCTTATGTATTCCTTTCCCAAATAAGCTATTCTTTTTTTACAGCTTTACTGAAATATAATAGATAATTAGTTGCTAATATTTACATTGTACAATTCAATGAATTTTTCTCTCAATTACAGTTGGCATACAGTAATACATTAATTTCATTTGTACAGCATAGTGATTAGAGATCTATATAATTCACAAAGTGGTCAACCCACTAAATCTAGTGCCCCTCTTCCCCCTTACATATTTATTACAACGTTGTTGACTATTTTCCTTATGCTGCACTTTATATCTCCATGACTATTTTGTAATTATCCATTTGTCCTTTTTCACCATCTCCCCAACCTCCCTCCTCTCTAGTAGCCCTCAAAATATTCTCTGTATCTATGGGTTTGTTTCTGTTTTTGTTGCTGCTGTTGTTTATTTCGTTCTTTAGATTCCACATATATGTGAAATAATGTGATATTTGTCTTTATCTGACTTACTTCATTCAGCATAGTACCCTCTAGATCCGTCAAGGCAATATCTTTTCCCATCCTCCTCCTTTTAGTCTGTGTGCATCTTTTAATCTGAAGTGAGTCTCTTTAGGCAGCATATGTAGGGGTTTTGTTTTCATATCCATTCAGTCACTCTATCTTTTGGTTGGAGCACTTAATTCTTTTCCATTTGATAGGAATGTAGTTATTACCATTCCTTATTCATGTTTTTGATATGTGTTTTTGTATGTTTTTCTCCTTAAAGAAGTCCCTCCAACATTTCTTGTAATCAGTATTGGTGATGATGAATTTCTTAGCTTTTTTTTTTTGTCTGGGAAAATATTTATTTGTCCTTCAACTTTAAATGATAGCTTTGCTGGATAAAGAATTCTTGGTTGTAGATCCTGGGTTTTCATCACTTTGAATATTTTGTGCCAAGCTCTTCTGTCCTGCATAGTTTCCTTTGAGAAATTGGTTGTCAGTCTTATGGGTGTTCCCTTGTAGGTAACTAATTGCTTTTCTCTTGCTGCTTTTAAGATTCTCTCTTTGTAGTTAAACTTTGACATTTTAATTATGATGTGTCTTGGTGTGGGCCTCTTTGGGTTCATCTTTTTTAGGACTCTCTGAGCTTTCTGGGGTTGTATGTCTATTCCTTCACCAGGTGAGAAAAGTTTTCTATCATTATTTCTTCAAATAGATCTTTGGCTTCTTGTTTTCCTTCAGCTACCCCTATGATATGGATATTTTTACATTTAATTGTGTCCTATAGGCTCCTTAAATTATTATTATAGTCTTGGCTTCTTTTTCTTGCTGTTCTGTTTGGGTGTCCTTGGCTTCCCTATCCTTTATATTGGTGGTTCGATATTTTTCTTATCTACTCTGTTGATCCCTTCTAATATACTCTTCATCTCAGATAATACGTTCTTCATTTCTGAATGGTTCCCTTTTATAATTTCCATTTCCATTTTTATGTTTTTATCTCTTTGTTAAAGTTCTCACTGAGTTCATCTACACTTCCCCTAAGTTCATTGAGCATCTCTATAACCAGTATTTTGAACTCAGCTTCTGTTAGATTGCTTGACTCCATTATTCCGGGATCTCTGTTTTGTTCTCTCATATGGTTTCTTCTTCTTTATCTTCCCATTCGGCTGCCTTTCTGTGTCTGTTTCTATGTAGTAAGCAAAGCTCCTAAGTCTCCCAGTCTTATTAGTGTGGCTTCTTATAGTAGGTGTCCATTGGCACCTTATAGTAGGAGTTCTGAGAGGGGTTCAGCTACAGGCCAAGATTAGCCCCAGCCTGGTCCCCTCTGGGGCCACCAGTTAAGATTCACTAAGCGATCCACAGATGCTGTGCTTATAGTTGCCTCAAGAGGCCATGCCAGAAACCGAGGTCAGCTGACACCAATGTGAGTCTTGGAGCTGCTTGGCAAGAAGCATTGGACTGGCAGAGAACACACCTGGATGTGGCTTGGGTGGGGCTGTGAGTTGGGGGAGGCGGAGTCTCAGAGAATCCTCTGAGCGAAGCGACCTCTGTTACTCAGTTTGAAGAAGTCTCAGCTATGGCGGTGCTGCTTCCCCACACTGGGAGTGTGGGGAAGCAGCACCAGCTGGATACCACCAGCACTTCTGCCTGGGAGAGGGACTCGCCTCTGGCTCTCACTCCAACAACTTAGTATCCCTCTGTAAGTCCTTGGTTCCCCCAAGCAGCCAACGCAGGGCTGGTGCTCAGACCCAGTGAGTCTGTCACCGCAAAATTCTGGTCTTGGACATGGTCCCTTTAAGAGGAATGTCTGGAGCTGTTGGCAGCAGCTTCAGTAGACTCTGTTCCACTCAGCCACTGGGAACTGGGCAGCCTTGTGTCCTTGCTCCGTCCCACCTCCTACCATTGCAAGATGATTTCTTATTTCTCTCCCTAGTCATAGGGCTTCTGTTCACCTAGACCCCAGGTGACTCTGCTTGCTGTTTGCTCCATGTTTCTGTCACTACTTTGATTTGGTCACAAGAGGAGGTGAACAAAACTTCTATCATTTATGCCATTTTGCCCCTATCCCTTCAAGTATTCTTTCCCTCTGGTTTTTTTATGATTATTTTCAGGCAGTAATCATACATAGATCACAGTTCTACAGCTAAGAATATGATACATAATGTCTCCTGTCCCACGGATTACAAATGTCAGTTTGAACGGGGAATTTTCTATCTTCAACCTCATTGCAAAGATTCTTATTCTAAGACAAAGGCACATTTCCTTCCTTTTCTTTGAAATAGATATGTGAAGAAATTTAGCTCCATCATAAATTTTTTATTTCATTGTATAATAAATGATCCTAGATTGGTTAAAATGAATTTTTCCTTTTATTCACCGAATAGCCCAAATACAGATTCCTTTTATTTTCTAGACAAATAACTAATCAGAAGTTTGGATTCCAACTGACAGAGGCTTTTTGAAACGAGGTCAGGTATAAAATCTCTGCTAATTTTACATGTGGATTAACTAGACTTCCCTTCCAGGGATTTATTTTTTAGACAAGTTCCATCCTGACTTATTTTATTGGAATTGTTGCCTTAGAGATTTAACCTGTTTTTATAAACTGACTTGGCCAAACTTGTTTTGATCAGGTGTGTACTTTTCAGAAATAAAATTATTCTGGGACTTAGGGAAAGTGAACTATTATTATTTACGTAATATTCTAAATAAATTTCAGGTCTAAAATATTTGGCAAAAAGTGGCTAGAAATGTAAGTAGTTAAAGCCTCATGCCTGAAAATAAACACACTCAGCAATTTCCTTCCTGGGTTAATAATTCAGTTGCCAGATCATTATATTAGCAATAGGTTGGAACTGATTCAGAGAATAAAGGTGTTTATGTCTTTAAAAAATCAACATATTTCTTAAAAGTGACATACAGTTTGAAAATAGGATCTTATTAATAATGACTATAAGAGATCTGGTCATTTAAAGAAAATGCACAGCAAATTTTCTGTAAAGTGAAGGATTGCTTTGTAGAAATAACCATTATTATATAATCTCTCAGTAATTTTGTATAGTTATAATTTTCTGAAACACATGAGATGTTTTTATATACTTTAAAGTGTACTTCAAATTTTTAGGGGCTGTAAATACACCCATGCATTTATGTACTCACACACATTTATTATGAGTAAGAAAATGTATAAAGAATGTACATTAGATAAAGTTCGCACTTTGCATCCAGTTCCCAAAACCTGGGGCTGACGCGCATTTTATGATTCTTTCCCCTTATTTTCCTTAGTCAGAATGCAAGACAAAGTATTTAAATATGTTCCAGTATTTATATAAATGCCTATGGTCAAACTACAAACCAGTAAATGCCCAAGTTGATGACGTAGAGTTAAACTGGTAGGTAATTCAACCATAGGCAACTCCAGAGATTTGAGCTAGATCAGAGTACCTTAGGTTTAGAAGTCCAGGATCTTTTCTGCCCAAGCTAATTTAGTTTTGAAGATCTTTCTTCCAGAGAGAGGGGACTCCTGATTGAGAAGGACTTTCTGAGCAACTGTGGGGTGGTTTAGAACTTTGGCAAGGTATAAATTATCCTCTATAGAGGCTGGGGAGTAGGTACAGCAAAATCAGTGGTTGCTTCTGATTTTGAATGTTGGTTTAGTCCCAAAGAGAACGTCCAAGGCAGATGTAGATTAAACAACTCTTCTCTGACTATCTGAGGCCAAATCTAGATTGTCCTGGGGAGTGCAGCATAATGAGTCTTCACTCCCACTGGCTTGTGACTCACCTCTCTGAGGCAGAGAATTTTCAACAGAGAGCATTTCCCATCTAGAGCTGTTCTTTCCTTCATTACCAGCTAATCTAACTAAGAAACTGCCTCAGGCTTTAAAAATTGCAAAATTAAAAGATGAGATTCTTAAAGTTTGCTGTTGCAAAGAAATTCAGTATGAATCTTTGAGGAGAAGATTCTAAGCAATTTAGTTAGTACTTAGTAACCAAAAGCAGGTCTGTTATAATCAGGATCAAAGAGAGTAATTGTTGGAAACATCTTCTCTATGACTAATGTAAATTATTCTCAGCTTGTTAAACACAGCAGAGGCATGGAGAATTTGGCCTTGTAGCTCAGAGCTGCTGCTTAGTTAGAAGAGGGAATTTTGCCTGTAAATCCTTCATGAAACTTCATCTCTGGGACAAGCACGACATTCAAAGCAGAGCTATTTTTAAAATGCATTATATTTGTAAATTAAGAATCTAACAGTACTTTACTTTTTTAAGTATCTTATTCTACTTATCTGCTGATGATAATATTCCATTAAAGAATGATAGAAACAACTATGCATGGATACTGAACATATTCGAGTGAATTTTTTAGTTGCTTGACACAAACAACAGAAGAGCCATGCAAATATAAAATAGCATAGGAAAAAGAGGTGAATATGTTTTAAAACTATTTCTACTAAATATTTTAAAACAATTCAATACAAAGCAGAAAATGAATTTCAACATACTCACCAAGGTGCAGAAAAAAGGTCAGTTGAAATTGCATTCTTTTGTCAGAAAATGATTAAATAGAATTCTGCTAGGTTAAAAAAAAAGAGATTAAAATTAGACACTGAAAGATAATAATCGACCTGAATTTTTAATGATTTGAAATTTTGTCTGATGGTTCTTACCCTTTAGGGACACAAAATACTGATAGAGCCCAATTCCTTTAAAAATAAGAATGTATACAATTTTTACAAATATTTGTTGTCTATTTTGAGACTACAGAATATGATCATTTGTAGGAAATAATAAGAAACAAATGTAATTTTCTTTGCATATTTTAATTTCAACCTATTTTTGCCCATCTTGTTATTTAGAAAAAATACTTAAATTATACAATTAGTGTAAACTCATTATTGAAAAAATAGAAAAATCAAATGGACAAAATAAAGGAATTATTATTCATAGTACCACCACCTAGAGAAAAGTGGTTCTTCCATACTTTTTTCATTGCATGTAAATATTTTCCAAAAATGATACATTATATACTTCTTCCAATCAATATATCCCAGACATCTTTCTGTACCAACAAATACATTTTTACAGGAGTGATTTTCAATCTAGTGAGGGACATCAGGATCAACTGGGGGCTTCCACAAACAAAACATGTGTCCTTGTTTTAGATTTCACTATGTCCCTCTAGATAGAGGGCCCCCCAAATCACTGTTGTGGGAGCCCTGACATACATGGGAGTATACATGCATCTCCGTGGACTGGGAGGAGAAAAAGTAAAAGGCTCTTCTGCATCAGTGTTTAAAATTACTGGATAATATTCCTATGAATGCAGGAACCAGAATTTATTTAACAAATGTCCTGATGATGTGTACTTTATTTCTAATATTCTGTTATAAATATTTTTGCTAAATCTTTGTTCATATCTTTAATTGACACCTTTAATATGCCTTTTAATTATTCCCCAGGATATATCAAATGGAGTGGAAATAATGAATTAAAGAGCATGTGTGTGTAAAGCTTTTGATGTTACCATCAAACCGTCATTCAGACAGTTTGTCCCTATTTATACTCACCAAGAGCCTATGACCTGAGCCATTACTAACAGTGAGCATTATGGATTTTTAAAGCTTTGTCAATTTAAAAAGCAAAGAAATCATACCTCATCATTTTAATGTATTTATTTGAGTAGTGTAAAAAATATTTGTCACATATTTGCCAGTGAGAATTATTTTTGACACTCTGGCCTTCAAGGCTTTTTCTAAAGAATTCTTTGTTTATCCTGCTAATCCCACATCCTTATCCCTCTAATCTCACTTTCCTGCACTCACACACGAGAACATCACTTCCTGTTCCTGCTTGCTGAACTCTCTTCTCATGCCAGTTCCTTTGCCTTGCATGCCACTCTCCAAAACTCAGATGCCAGCTTCCTTATAAAATCTTTTAAAGAGTGTTTTGAAAGGCTTCATTTTAGGCAAATTTCCCAGTCTGTGATCTAAGCTACTTACACAGCTTGGGGGTTATTTGGACGTCAAATATCATAAGAAAATTACTGAGAAGCATCCCCTCCTGAAGCATTTCTAACTGAAAATGATCTGCCTCTGTTATAAAAGTCTGCAGTTTTGGACTAATAGCCTCATAGAAAACCTTGCAAAGACCTATAGGAGAATCCAGAATGGAGCCTTAGGAAGGTCCATCCTGTGTGGGCCACCTGACCCTGAGCACTTTTTCTAGGTGACAATCTTGTTGCCCTTTCCTTGGTCAAAGCATGTGGTTTCGATCAATTATCCAGCTACACTTTTTTGATGACATGAAATCCCCAGTTCTGATGTTGTCCTGGATTCAGAACTCCTGCCTAGAGGCTTCATTCCTTTCTTTTTAAAGTTGGATAATATTTTATGATTTATACCTGGAGAGACTTTTAAACTATCAATGCTCAGGCCTAACCCAGACCAATTCGATCAGAATCTTTAGGGGTGGGACCCATGTGTCAATGTCTTTAAGATGCTCCTCAGAAAAAGGAACCCTTATACTCTGCTGGTGGGACTGCAAATTGGTACAGCTCACCAATTTTACTATGGAAAACAGTATGGAGTTTCCTCAAAAAACTAAGAATTGATCTACCAATTGCTGTGATCCAGCAATCCTTCTACTGGGTATTTACCCCAAAGACTTGAAAACCCATTTCCAAAAAGATATTTGCACACCGATGTTCATAGCAACATTATTTATAGTGGCCAAGACATGGAAGCAACCGAAACGTCCTACAATAGATGATTGGATAAAGAAGCTATGGTACATATATACCATGAAATATTACTCAGCCATAAGAAGAGATGAAATACTGCTATTTGTGACAACATGGATGAACCTCAGATAATCATGCTAAGCTAAATAAGCCAGACAGAAAAAGTTGAAAACCACATGATATCACTTATATGTGGGCTATAAACCTAAAAGCAACAAATAAACAGGACAAACGAACAGAGACTCATGGACGTGGACTATAGGTTAGTGGTTACTAGAGGACTATAGACTAGTGGTTACTAGTGGGGTGGTGGAGGAAGGGGAGGTGGACGGGGTAAAGAGGGTCAAATATACGGTTTGGGGGGAAGTGGGTTAAGGGGGTCAAATATATGGTAACTAAAGGAAACTGGACTTTGGGTGGTAAACACACAACAGAATACACAGATGTCAAATGATAATGTACACCTGAAAATTATATAATTGTATTAACCAATGTTATCCCAATAAACTTAATTTTAAAAAAATAATAAATAAATTAATTAAAAAAAGATGTTCCCCACAGGATTCTAATATGCAATCCAGGTTGAGAAATACCAATGGCTCCTGAACACCTAAAACTCATTAATTTGCCCCACATACCTGCTATCCTCATGGGTTCAATTCTAAGAGAAAGGCATGTGGTTCCCAAACTTTACTGCACATTAGAATCACCTGGGGAGCTTTAAGAATCCTGCCACCCAAGTAACATTTCTTACCAATTAAATCAGAATATCGGGAGATGGAGTCCGGGCATCAGTATGGTTTAAAAATTCCAGTTGGTTCCAAGATATAGCAAGGTTTGGGACCTACTGGCATTACCATAGACTGACGTTATTAGGTCAGAAATTCAAGAGTCATTCTGGATTCCTCCTCCTCTCACCCTTCAAATCTAAATTTTATCTTATCTCCATAAACAGTGGTCCTCAAAGTGTGGTTCATGAATTTAGTTGGGTGACCGATTCATGCTGGTTTGTCTGGGACTTTTCTGGTTTTAGCCTTGAAAGTCCCCGGGTCCTGGGAATCTCCCTGAATACTGGGCAAACCCAGATGTTGGTCACCCTACTGGATAAACAGCATCAGTGTCACCTGGAAACTTGTTAGAAATGCCAATTATCAAGCCCTAGCCCAGGACCTACTAATTCAGAAACTCTAGGGATGGGGCCTAGCACTCTGTGCTTTTACAAGCCCTCCAGGTGAATCTGCTATATGCTCAAGTTTAATAAATCACTGTCCTAAGTAGCTCAGAAGTCCATACTATGAAAATCAGAGCTGCTGCTGCTTCTGGGACAGTAGCTAACACTTCATGAGAATCTACTCAGTGGCAGGAGCTTTCTTAGCTGACTGTGTGGCTTGGCTGCTCCCCCAGTTAGACATTGCAGGGCAAGTGGATAGATCTGCTCCTGTCTGAGTATGCATGTTCTTCTTAGAGCTTGCTCAGAAATGGGCTTCTTTTCTAGCCCCCCAATATTCAAAAGTAATTTCCTCATCAGAATAGAAGGTTTTATATTGTTCATAAGCTTCTAGGGAGAAAACAAAAAAGGAGAGTTTTCTTTCTTTCATAGATGAGGTCTCTCCTATGAAACTGCTCATGTCTCTGAGGTGGGGGTATTCTTATCTCCACAGCACTTACTACCTCTTTTAAGGCATAAAGTATATTCTATTTTTCATCCTTTTATTTTTTGGTGACAGCTTTACTGAGACAATCATATATATATAAAGTCACCTTTAATGTGTCTTTTAATATATTCAGAAAGCTGTGCAACCATCACCATTGTCTAACTCTAGAACATTTTATCACTCAAGCAAAAAATTCCATATCCTTTGGCAGTTAGCCCCCATCTGCCTCTTCCTGCAGCCCCTGGCAACTACCAATCTACTTTCTCTCTTGATGGATTTGCCTATTCTGGAAACTTCATATAAATAAAAATTATACAACATGTAGTCCTTTGTGACTGGCTTCTTTAGCACATTTTCAAGGTTCATCCTTGTTGTAGTATGTATCAGACCTTCATTCCTTTTTATTGCTGAATAATATTCCATCATATGGATATACCACATACAGTTTATCCATTCATCAGTTTGTAGGCATTTGGTTTTATCTACTTTTTGGCTATTAGGAATAATGCTGCTATGAATATTTATCTACAAGTTTTTGTATGGCTATATATTTTCATTTCTCTTGGATAAATATATAGAAGTAGAAACATTCTGCTTTAAAAGAATTTTATGACCTTGTCTAAAACTTCCTAATAGATTATAAGCACTTAAAGGCAAACATTCATCTTTTTGTCCCTAGAAGTACTTAGAAAGGTATCAAAAACATTTGTCGACTTGAATTCATTGTAGTTTGCATTTCTTGTGTTAAAATATACCAGTGTCTAACCTTAACACTAATTGCATGCATAGCATTCTAGCTTGGTTTTTATTTACTGGCTGTTACACTAACCTCACCTCACCTATCTTCACTTGGAGTCCTAGGCTGTGCCCTGGAGGTCCCCTTCACTGTAGGGCCTGATTTAGCCTTGGTTTTAAAGTCCCTGTATCAATTGCCAATCTTGGGTGTTCTCTGGTGCTAACTTTTTTCCTGCCTCTTGTCCCACAACCTTATTCTGTGATTTCTGTTTCCCAACTTTCTCATATATATATATATTACTTCCCAGAGCCCCAGTGTGAAACTGGGGCTGTCTAGAAATTTGAAAATTTAAATATTGTAATAGGAAACACTTGGGAGGTAAAGAAGACTATAGATTAATCACTTACCAATAGTCCTTTTTTTTTTTTTTTTTTTAATATCATAGCTCAGTGAAGGATTTATAGTTTTTCGGTCAGAAGCACCAGCCTATGGCCCGAAGCACTCACAGAATGGGATTTTTTAGGGCCCAGTGGGAAGATGGGTGAAAAGGGATGGAGTCCTTGGCTTCTTTCCTCCACTCTAGTAATGAAAGTGGCCCCAAAGGAATACCAACATTGGGCTTTAAAATTCTTTAATCTAGCTATGTCTGAAATTCCCAAGGCATAGTGAATGAAGAGATGAGTTAATTCTGGTTAATTCAGGCTGCTATTCTCTCTGAAATGACCCAATAAAATGGTAAAGGGACTTAAATCATCCCTAATTTTCTTACTCCTCTATGTCATAATGCAAGCGAACTCTTGACTTCCTGTTACAAATTAATTCCTTACTCCTCCCCTCAATTCTACCTCCTGAAATATAATTTCCTTCTTTCTCAGTGAAGATGAATTACAGCTGATCCCTATCATCATGCTGCAAATGCTTAGGCCCATATTGGCTTTTCTGATTCTCAGAAAAAGTGCTGTGCAGTTATTCTCAAGGGGTTGGTTTGCTCCATAGAGTATATTTGGCAATGTCTGCAGATATTTCTGGCTGTCACAATAGAGATGGGGGAACGGTACTGACAACTTAGTGAGTAGAGGCCAGGAATACCGCTAAATAAATATCCTATAATGCACAGGACAGCTCCCAGCCCCTAACTAAGAATTATCCAGCCCAAAATGTCACTAGTGCTGAGTGTGAGAAACCCTGCAGATGGCTTCAGTACCCTTAGCCAGGGCCTTGTCACCCCACCCTTTTTCATAAGTTGCTCAGCTCTAGCCTTACTCTCTTGTTTTCTTTCACGATTCAGGTGATCTACACCCCAAACTAGATGAGTGTTATAGTAAGTCTGGCAACTTTTAGAAGTTCTGTCATCTAAAATCAACTACCTAGGCATTATAAAACCAACAGTTGCGCATACAGCACAATTTCAGGCATTGTGATGATCTCATCTATCCTGCCTCAAGCTGTCCATTTAATTGGTGCCCCTTTTCTGGTTGGTTTACCAGAGATGACATTTGCAAGGCCTCGCAGGAGCTATGTGAAAATTATTTCTTGCTAAATTCATTGGTGAGTTTAAGTGATATATGCAAAAATAATTGGAATGAATAAATATAATATCCCATTCTTTGAATGAAAAGCATATACATTTATTTATAAAGGGCCTGGGTACATTTTGGTCATTGTTTAATGAATATTGCTAGATGAAGCTGGTCTTAAAATATATTAAGTGTTGCAATAAATAGATCTTAAAATGCATGATGTGTTGCAGCGAACAGTAAAATATACAAAACTGATGATAACTAACTTTCTGGCATTGCTAATTGACTTTAATTTACTAACTGTTATCTAATATTACCTCATTGGCCCTCATTTGAAGGCTGTGCTCAGGCCAACACGTTATCAGAGAGTTTGCTCTTTTTTGTCAAAATAATTTGAATGAAACAGATGAAGACATGAAGAAGGGGCATATAATGTTAAACTGCCTAGCTCCTAGACTCATGGGTGCAAAAGCTTTTGATAAACAGACTCTCCGCAGAAAAGGTGTGCATTCTACTCCTGTTTTGGCTGCTGTTCCTGTCTTCTGCAAGTTGAACAGAAATATCTAACACAGGGGACAATTATAATAAATATATTTATATTAGTTCTTAACTCTTTTTCTGGCACACTTCAAATGAGTTATTTTATACATCTGAAAATGTCAATTTTCATAGAAATCTTATGTTTAACTCTCCCTTATTTGGGTAACACATTTTTTTCCATATTATACCAGGAATCATTAAACATTTCAGCTGTGTTGCCTAAATTGCCTCACAGTGAAGAACGCAGAACTCGAAGCTATAAAAGTTACTTTTCTTTGAATTAGAACAGACATCATGCTTTCTTAAAACTTAGTATTTACACACACCTAGAATATCAACAGAAATATTTTGACGATATGGATAGCTCTATAGAATTTGCACTTTTTCTAAATTGTCGCAAGTTGTATCACCACGATAAAATAAGCATTTTCCAAGTACATAATTTAAAATTGTGCAGTTCGGCACTACCTCACTTGAAGCTTCCCTCAAGGAACAGAAAAGGTCAAATCATTGGCTACATCCCACTATGTGCTCAGCTTTCACTTTTCCCATTGGATACTGTATTATGTATACATGTTTGTGGGTAATGTTATCTGATTATTGATCATTCTGTAAAAGTAATAATTATGCTCTATGCTCTGATATATTATATTCTATGCTGGTTCCCCATGTATTAACAAATTCTGAGCTTGCTGATACTTTCACTTAATCCAAAATATGCCAACTTGCCAGTGAGATGGAAGGTGAAACTTACCGGGATTTGAGAGGCTGTTTAGAGGTGCAGGCAGCAGACAGGGCATGTAAAGGCACACCTGAAAGCGAGAGTCAATTTAAGTAGGAAATGTTTTCCCCGAGGCACCTAAGGGTAGGAGAAAAAAATGAGAAGTATTCCAAAACCTGCCAAAAAGGTGATTTGTAAAGTTACTTGCCCTAGGTTTTGATTTACGCTCTTTCTCTCTCTCTCTCTCTCTCTCTCTCTCTCTCT